TTGAAATCAAGATGTTTGGGACAAAGCCATCTGATGCAACCCTCCAAGTGAAGCCAGAATTCGACAGGCAGCCAGGTCGATGGGTAAATCGAGTCAGGTCAGGTCAAGGAGGCCAATTTTGAGTGAGTCTGGGAAGTTGGAGACTGTCCCCTGAGGGATCTTATCAAGAACCTACCCCCCCAACCTGTTGCCAAGGTCACCTGTCCCAGGAATTGCSCCTCCCTACAGGGAGCTATAGGTTGTTAGTGTGTCTTTGGCGGCTCCCTCCTGCCCTTCCCCTTTCAGCCCACCTGTTGGCCATCCCACCGAGCATTTCCTGGGCCTAGTCCTGTCCGCAGGAAGGAGAAAGATAAGGAGGACAAGCCGGAGAACAAAAAGGGCAGAGCACCTCGCTTCTGGGGATACCAGACACCAGCTGTGGCCCTTCTCCCTCCTGCAAGAAGTCTATGTGACCCCTTTAAATAAACCTGCTTCATATGCTCGCCGCGGCTGCTCCTCCAACGTTCAGCCTTCAACACGTGGGGAAGCAGGACTCCCCAGTAACCCGCGGGTCACAAGGGCTGACCACAAGTTCCTGGGGTAGGCCGCCCCGGTTCCTGTCTTGTGTAGATCTCACTCTGTCTCCCTCCTCCGAGTCACCCCAGCTGCCTTTCAATAGATGCTCTTTTTGGTTTGGATCAGTTGGGGGGCTCTACTTCTGTGGCTCGAAAWGCCTCCAGTGACCACTCCGTTAATCCCCATCAGGGGAGTGACTCCCTGGGTTAAGGCTCTCACCGCCAATCATTTCTCCTCTGACCCTTCCTGCATTGTCTCACGTGAGATTCTGGGGGACACCTCACAGCCGAACTAACACGAGCATCACGGTGGAGCTGAGGCGAGTTCCCAGTTATCACAGCGGCATTCCCACTCTCAGGGCTGGGGGAGGGGGTGGGTGGGTTCCTGAGAAACTCAGCGCTGACACAAGGCCCAGGTGAAATCTGTGAAGGAGTGACAGTCTTCTAAGAACTGACGGCGAGACACCAGGGCAGGTGAGGTGGGTGGCTGTGGCTGGCGGAGGAGGGTGTTTCCGTCAGCTTTTTGCTGCTGTGTCTTGGTGGCCAGAACAATGGTTGAGGAGGAAAAGGTTATTTRGGGCTCACAGTTTCAGAGGTCTCAGTCCAGACAGCCGGCTGTCACATTGCACAAGACAAAAACACTCAGGGTCACTCCAGGGGAACTGGGCTGGATGAGATAATCTCACAAGAG